ATGAAAGTATCCTGAGTTTTCACGTGAGCCGAGAAATGTTCGCTTGGGGTTGGCCGCTGATGGTTTCAATCCTTTCGGGAACATGAGCCTCTCATACAGTATATGGCCGGTGGTTTTAACAGCTTACAATTTACCTCTGTGGTTATGCACTAAGGATCCTTATAAGATGTTGACATTGTTGATTCCTGGCCCAAATGCACCCAGAAAGGATATGGATGTCTTTTTAAGGCCCCTTGTGGATGAGCTAAAACATTTGTAGAATGAAGGAGTAATTGTACGTGACGCAGTTTCGAATATATCATTTCATATGCGAGCTATGTTGCTCATGATTGTTAATGATTTTCCTGCTCGTAGTAGTTTATCTGGATGGAGTGGTCAGGGCTATTTAGCATGCCCAACTTGCAACGATGCAACTCTTTCAAAGAGGATAACAAGTAAATTCATGTCCCAGATTTTCATGCCCAATTTCGTTTTAAAGAAAATTCATGTCTCGTTACAGATTTTCAATATTCGAAAGCAGAATGGCCCAGAAGCGAATGATCAAATACTTTCGCTTTCAAGTGGTTCAAGCTTTTCATGTCGAAGTTATCCTGGTTGTGTGGTCAACGGTGTCAAGTTTCTAACACGCAATCGGGATATGAATCGAAGTACTCAAAATAGTGGTGTTTGTGTTCGCGGACCTGATAACCAAATGTTTTATGGAGTTTTGAAGGATATTTATGAACTGTCATACTTGAATGACAATTCTGTTATGCTTTTTAAATGTCTGTGGTTTGACACTCGTCCGGGGAAGAAAAGGATTCAACACTACAAAAATAGAATAAGTGTTTTTGTTAAAGACACATGGTACGAAAACGAACCTTTCATACTTTCATCTCAAGCTGAGCAAGTTTTTTACGTAGACGATTTATTTAACGGTCCAAACTGGAAGGTTGTAGAACACTTTAGACATCGACATATTTGGGACATTCCAAAAACTGACATTGATGACGTGATGATAGTCTAGGATACAGAGTCTACAAATATTGAGTTAGTAGTGGAACTACCAGAGATTGACTCATTTGTATTGAATCGAGATGATGGATCGTCTAATGTTGTCACTTCCGATGTTGATGCAATTATGAAAGATAAGTCTCCCGTAGTTGATGATTTTATTAATGATGAAGACGATGAAACTTTAGAGGAGTACGTTGAAGAGGAAGTCATCGAATCTGAAGACGATGATGACATAAATGATGATGGAGACAATCAACAATGTAGCAGCGACGATGAATAGAACTACAAAATAGTAATCTTTGTCATTTTTCTCAGATTTCATTTTAATATTATGATCTTATTTGAATTTATAAATATTGTTATTAATATGAATTTGTTCACAGACATTGATGGCTGGTAGGGTAGCGACTTGCGCTGGCTCTTCAGGGGGAGCACAGCCTCCTCCCGGTCCTCACAGACTCCTCGCATACTGTGAGTTTGGTATGTTAGTCTGACTTTTTTTCTTGTTCTATCATAAAGTAAATAAATGTAGTAGTACAAGTTGATTTGAAATGCTTTCATATGCTTACAGCACCTGAACCTCGACAACGTAGAGGGCGAGGTGGGGCAAAAGATTATGAAATCGCCCAAATGGTCCTTCAAGACAGAAAAATCACAGTAGAATTTGATGAGGCGGGAGGTACTTGGAAGGCACTTGGTAAATATGGTGCCTGATTTGATAGTGCGGTTGGTATTCATACCAGGAACATATGTGAGCCCTTCCACGATGCTTGGAAGGATATTAGCGACATGGACAAGAGGACAATTCAGAACCGGATGCTGGTATTTTTTATTATGCAATAATTTGTATAGTTTATACTAAAGTTAACAATGCGTTTTAACGATGTGAAACTGTTTTGTAAGGACTGGTTTAAGTTGGACTACAACTATAAGAACGGTATTCTGAGGTCCGTTGTTGATAGAGAGGTAGCAAAGTGCTACAAGGACTGGAAAAGTTCCCTGCACCGCCACTTCAAATGCTATGGTAGAGAAAGTCTCCCGAGTAATATGAGGAATCAACTTCATTGGGATCGTTGTTGCGATAGGTTCTC